ATTATAATACCAATAATAGTATGTCTTGTGGTTTTTCTTATCATTATTGTTATTTGCGTATACTTTAGATATGAGTTATTAACCATATATTATCTTAAAATGAAAATAAGACGTCATGTACTTGAAGAGTTTAAATATGATGTGTATATATCATGTGATGAAGAAAATGACGAGGATAGAATTTGGATACAGAACAATATCTTACAATTATTAGATAATTCGGGATTGAAATGTTACGTATCGTTTCGTGATGGTAGGGGTGGGGAAATAACCGTGGATAAAAATATTTCAACAATCCATAACAGCCGATTTGTACTAGTACTGGCATCTGATACATATATTAGTAAATCTAAAAACATGATCGAATTCAATGTAATATATCATCATACATTATCAAATATACATGGTGAATTAATTTTAATCAAACGTGCGGAATTTCAATCATCTAAAATAGAAAATCGATATTTAAAGTCTTTATTTCGGTTAAAATTATATTCATCTTCAGTCGATGAAAATCTCAAAAACAAAATGATCAAAAGGATGAATCTGATTTAATTGAATCTGTAAGTTCAAGTTTGAGTCTTGACTGACCCCGGAATAATGTTCTGACTTATTTTTAAACAATGTAATATAATTATGTGTCAGAAAATATGCCTTTCTAATGGCCAAACATCATATTCTGTATATATTAAAGATCATTCTATTGACTTGCCCATAAACTAATTGCTTTTTCCCTCCTTTTTACCAGCCATGTCGTCTTCAACCAATAAAAAATAAAATAAACTCTTCATTTTACATGGGTCAGATTTAGGACATGTTACACAAGGACATGGTCCTGTCTAACATTCACCCCATGAATGAATGAAAAAAAATATTCACAATACCTCGATGGACAGCACAAATACACAAGAACATGTGTATTAAATGGACAGACTATATTGATGTGATCAAGTACATGACCACAAAAGATGTACCAACTCTCACAATTTTGCCCTTTTTGAGCGAATATTAAGACTGGCGATTAGCAATAACTGTATGTCTGAACAGTATTAGCACAGTCTTAATAAAATTAGACCAAACTTTCGTACAGTTTTTATGAATGAAGTTATTTACACCTCTATTGTTCCTATTCATATATTTTCATAATTGTAAATGGAATTATTATATTTTCTAAAGCTTATATCACTGAAATCTATGTAAAATTTATTATTTTCCATATTATAAATTTTATTTTTTGTATATTTATTTCATAATCATATATGTGTTCTATGGGCCATTGCCTTTGATAAAAATAAAAACTCGCATTGTAATATGAAACCTAGTAAATTTGTCAAAATTAAAAAAATATAAGTATACAAGACAAAATTAATTTTAAATGTATCTGATTATGTATTGATCATGTGTTCCTGGTTCCGATTACACTATATTTCACTTCTCGATTGATATGACAGCACTATTTTATTTATATTTGCAGAAAGAAGGGTCACAATATGTAGCTATAGGGTATGGGACTTGATATATTTTTGAATAAGCTTTTTACCCAACTGTTAACGATAATTTTAATGTGGTGTTTGTCTCCCTTTATTTATTTTTAAATTCGACTTCATAACCAAAAGAGTTATGCTATATTCGTTCTGATCATTAATAAACATGGTTTATGTAGATATACTTGTTACTATTTTTAATGATAAAACGTTCTCCATTGACTTGTTGTTCAAAGAAATGCTGTTTCGGTTTTCCTAATATCTTATGTATGATGTCACCATAGTCAAATTCTACGGATTTCTTCTGAGGGCAGTCATGCTATCAGGGTCAAATTGATAAACACATTTTTATCGGCTAGACAAGGATGCTGAGCAACAGCGACATGGCTTCCTAGAATCAAAACAATAAACTTCCTGAAACCTAGCCTAGCCTCCGTTCATGTACGCCAAAAATATAAAACCTTGATAACTGTTGTTGATTTGTCGCATAAAAGAAACGCTATGGATTCATTCATGACTGAGATGATACATAACATAACAGTTGTACGTTTCATGCATAATGTATTCGGTTAGTCATGTGTTTAGCTTGTAGGTGCAGTTGGAAGAATAAACCCTGTCGCAGACGAAAAAAAGTAGCTGAGCTGCTCGTCTCAAGAGGTGTCAGCTGAGCAACATTCTCACTATTTCTTTCTACCAAAGACGATAGCTCTCGCCCGAGCTACGATTCACTAGAATCTATGTAACATGTTGAATATGCCAGGACGACGTCAATTATGTTCAAAAATAAGGGTGAGTGATATATAATGCTAAAATGTCAAAAACTAAATACGAACATTCAAAATCCATCAAAAGAGAAGTATCAGAAGTGATGGAACAAGATCGTTCAGCTGAACAACATTCTCACTACTTCTTTCATCACAGACCAGAGCTCTGGCCTGAGATATGACAGATCTTCGGTCAATTCCGTGCGGTTCAGTGCAGATAGGAAAAACAGCTCAGCTACCGACATCTTGGGGCAAGCAGCTCAGCTAGTTCCCCTCGTTTACGGCAATTTAAGTCTTGACGGGATAAGGGTACTACAACCCTTAGGAATCTTAAGGCCCTGTAACATTTCTGTTTATATTTCATATTTTTATCGTATTCAGGAGCTGTATTGCCCATTTTGGTGCTGGTATACCTTAATACATTCCATTTTAATTTAATTCTGAAACGTGTGAGAACGACATGGTATCCAGAAAGTCGTCAGACAAACGTTGTAACATATCCTTTGGCGGTATAAAAGCACAGTACACGCGTGGCAAAGACATGCAAAAACGTTAGAACGCAATATGGTCGCATAATTCTCGACTGTTTTTAAGCTTTGTAAATTTAAGGGACATTCTTCTCTAAGGCTGTTAGAGAAAAAAAATACAATCTCACACTTGGTTAAAATCTTTGAAGTTTAGCTAGTTCCTCTCGTCTGCGACAGGCTTATGTCTTGGCAGAACGTCGATCATAAGCTAAGGATATTACACACCATAAGAATCTTACAGAAAAGAACACAATAATAATCACCATTGGTCACATAGTATGCTAAAATGTAAAGAACTTATACCAACATCCCAAATCCTTAATAGAAGTACCACAAGTAAATCATATCTCATATCTACAATGAATATGATCTAGACCATCATACAATAGATTGAATATGCCCCTACATGAGAAACATTACATACGCCATGCAAAGCATGACATTACGGCCCTTGTTCTACGTACAAAAAAATAAATTATTTATCCCCTATTCGGATTATTTCAGCATCCATTAATTGATTGTGTTGATTGAAATTTTTAGTTTGAAAGCTTACTGATTTGGCTATTGAGTAGGTTTTTGGCTCTATGGCCCCAAATGTAAGAAAGGACCTATATTTTTTGAGCCAATTTATTTTAAAACGAAGATATTTGACTTCTGATTTCTCTAACATGTCAAGATAATCAAAATGGATATTCCCTGAAAATTTCAGCTTTGTGGCTTTGCAAGTTAATAATGTACAGACTGATTTTGGTTGTTTATTTGACATCGTTAGGGCCCAATTTGTAGGATATGACCAAAATTGAGCTTTTTGAAAAAGATAGGCATTGTAAATTTTTGGCTCTATGGCCCTAATAAAAAGCAATTATTTACATCCGCTTGGCACTTTCGATCGGCCAATTACACATAAAGCCAGTCTTGAATATTAGACAACTACTACACAATAAATTTGCTCTTGGAAATCTGAAGTCTGTTTATTCGAAAATAATTCGCTATAATTTGTTTTATATCAATGAAAATGTATTGCGAGAAGCAACCGCTACATGTAATAAACGTCGTATACCGTTTCTAAAGAAACAGCTTCCTCAGGTTGAGGGCTGATAAACAACGAAACCATATATAAATACACATGAAATGATGTCTATACATATGTTAGATTAAAAGGTTGTATACTAACCTGGCCAACAGAATAAATTTTCTATATTCACCAAGTGAACTCGGGTGGTCACAATTATCAGTTTTAACGGTGAGTGTAAATTTTCAAATTTCAAACTCTCCGAATTGGGTCAGAAAAAAAATTAAAAATTTAGAATTAAATTCCGCTTAAGGCTGTTTTAAAATTTGGGAATGAAAACGGATAAATAATTTCTTAAAGTTTTTTTTCGTAATTAGTATATTATCATCATCAACATTGAACAGTGTCATCGATATCCAAATCTTATTTGATGAGATTGTGCAGGGGATATCTTTACATTCTGAAAAAAGAGTCTTCCAACACCGATTTCGATTTTTAGGTATTTTCTGACCCTATTCAGAGAGTTCTGGAATTCTGAATTTTACACCCATCGCAGTTTTAACGTTATTGTACCTTAAGTGCCGGGAAGGTGGTTTCTCTTGACCATATACCAAAAGAAAACAGGCATATGCAAGGTTAAGAAGACATCGTAATGCCGATATTGCATTTAACGTCACTCCATAAGTTGTTGGCACTAACGCATATGATAGTTTTCAAAGTTTTTTTTTATTTTCGATGGAGCTTGGTCCTCGGGTGAATCCGTAGAGAATTGTGCCCTCTAGAGTGTTAACCTGCTATAAATGGAACGAATTTTAAAGAACAAGAGATATATATCGATCTACCACGATTTGTGCCCTTCAGAATCTTTAGGAGCTTACAATTCGACTCGTTTCGAAGAGAGCCATATCCTACAAGAAACGCTACTATGATTGGTTTAAATAACCTCATTAGAACTAGACTGTGGTAGAATACAATTCAGAAGAAAAAATATCACACAATAAAAGAAACAAAATTGTAATCTAGTTTTAATAGAAATAAAATGGTTCCCACCTATACCTCGCTTCATATAGCTTTTATTGTATATTAAGAATACAATTTAATACATGTAGTTTTCTTAACATTGCTCATTATGGTTGGTTGGTAGAAGATGAGTTAACGTTCGTTTCAAGCGGATGCTGATAACGCAAGTTAGGTAGTTTGTGTTTGCTCATTATGAGAATACTTATAGATGGATTGCTATTCTTTAGACTTAATCTTAAGAATTATTTATGACCAATTACACCGGAGAATTTGAACAAGGCCCGTGAATGACGTAATGAATTTGTTTACTTCCGATCCATGAATTATTTATTTGGAGAATGAAATATGATAAAAGACAGGTAAGATGGCAAATCTATGATTTATGTATAAATAAATTTCTACAATTTTGCTTGAATGGCTTAGCAAATTAAATCAAAAGATAGAAATATGAAAGGAAACACGAGAAACATCACCGAGTAAGAGTATGCAGTCCAAAATGGCGTATTGTCATTACTGTATATTATGTCGAGAGGTATTGATTTTATGATGAACTTCAGAATCAGGTGTCTTTGATAATATACAAAAGTAATCACATTTAATTTACTGGGGGCAATATATACATAAAATGTATACATGAGTATGTACTATAATAAAATATTTTCAGTTAAAATAGTGTACAGTACAATACATCAATCATTGTAGGGCGATATAGAAATGTTCTAACCCTTACCCCATACATGTATATTAATGACATCAATTTTACCATATTTATGGATGGTTACACATGAATGAGTGGGTTATTTTACCCTTTTACTTGTCAGTCTATTTGAATTTGATATTTATAGACCTTGAAAACTATATCCTTAAAAATACTCGTTTGGATAGTCGAATTTTTGGCCTGCTTGAATCACTGATTAGTTTTTGTGGGAAAAAATTGAAATAAATGAAGTTTTACTGCCTTCTTTTCTGCACCTGATTGGGCAACGCCATGCAGTGTTGCGTGAAACTGTCAGGACAGCTGCATTAGCTTATTCTTCTCTTTCAATTTCCTGTCCAGGATCTTTAACGTGCATTCTGTAGCACATGGGGCCTCGGTTTATTTTCCCATCCAAACGACTAGACGCCTAACTCACTGAACCACCGCGGCCCCTAGTTGCTATGGAAAGTCATTAAATTGTCTTTGTGTATATATATATATGCATGGCACAGGGTAATAAATAATGGCCGAGAATGAGTATGAACATATCAACATAATGCTTTTTTTTATATTTTAGACTATTTCAGGAGAGAGATCACTTCACAGAAATACAAAGAATAACATTACAGTTGTTGGATAAAGGCATATATAAATAGTTGTACGTACTGTCATGACTCAAGTTTCTAATTTGGGATTTCATTTGTGCAGGGATTTACTGATAAGAGTCGATTTTAGCAACACCTGGTCTATATTAAACATAATATTATGGGCGCTGGGGATTATTGGTGTGCAGTATGTCGTAATAAAGGTAAGAATCAGCATCTTGAAGTCCCTGGACGTGACACTGGAGATTTTGATGTATTAAAAGCCCTCGAAACCCAAACGTCACGTGCTTGATTTTATCAGTCGCAATTATATTATGGATTCACCTTCTTGAATTTAATACAATATTATGTTAATTGTGGACAGGATTAGAAAAATCACCTGTTGTGTTTTAAGCATATATATTTGAAATTAATTAGGACTAGACAGATGGCTACATTCATTATGTATGGAAAAGGCGCTATTACTTTGTATGAATAATCCTTTAGAATGAACTACCCCGCCTTTGTGGACTGTAAATTCGGCTGAAGTCATTGTGTGTGTAAGGAGTATAATGGGCCAATACAAATTCATGACATAACATGGATATAGCCTCCTTAGTTAGACATTTATTGCATATCGTAATGATAATAAATGTTTAAATTTTCGTGTTTTTTTTATCTTTATTACTGAAATTGTCTTTGTAATTGATAAGGCTTTAATTTTTTCAGGAAGTATTTAAACTAGAACATTTAATGCATTTTACAGGTAATTTAATACAGCTGGCTTTGGCCAATACTTCAAAGTTCTTGGATTAAAGGGCCTACTGTCTGGAGTAGCAGAATTTGAAGTGGTGCGTTAAACTTAAACAGTTCTCAAGATCACGAGTGGATCTTATTCTGCTTTGTATGTGTTACAAATCCTACAAGTGGTTATGGCTTAATAACATAGATCATGGGAGAATTCGACTTAAGCTTTAAAATTATACTATTAGGAGATTGTGGTGTTGGTAAAACGCGCTTAATTAAGGAACTATCCAAGAAGAACTATACACCAGTTTCTAGTTGCTGTTGTTATTCGTTTACACCAAATTCGAACGTGGATTTAGAATTTCATCGCTATGGAAAGAGAATCAGTGTTAAAATAATAGATACAGGAGGTATGGTATATAACAAAATTCCTTTGTTAACTGATTGTAAAACACATGACCACACCCATCGTCATGTGATTTAATAATGAATTGATACTTGATACTACAGTTAGTAATATTAATATTATCCTCATATTTTTCGAAGTACTCCAGTAGAAAGGGTGAAGGATATGTGTCATTCATACAGTAAAGCGAATAGGTCGAAACTAGTAATCTCTCCCTTTCATTTGCATTTCTAAATTAATCCATTACGAGGGAGGATTATGCTATTAAAAGACTGTTATAGACCGTTTAATACCATAACATTTATTGCACAATACTTTTCCTCAATCATAAAAACTACCAAAGAATTATTATTTAATATTTCCTTTTGGTCTCAATTGGGCATAACAATAAAACGCAATTGTGTACTAAGATTATCTAAATTGTAATATGAATAGGTCTAGATATATAGTACAAAAGGGTCACTTGTAGAAAACCTTTAGTACATGAGGTCTCAAGTATAATTTGTTTTAACGATTTATTAGTTCTGACTTGATCAAGATTTAAAGAAATATTTACCGTATCACACGATGATGTACCTACTAAGCAAGATGATCTGTTGCCATATCAATAAGTGTAGATACGTATTTCAAAAGGGTCACTTGTAGAAGGACACTATATAATCTTAATTATTCTGGACTCATTTATTACAAAATATTGACTTAGGTATACTCCTTAAAATCCATAGCTATCTATTCTAATTTAAAATTTGTAGTAAAGATTGTTCAATCAAATGAAGAGAACAGAAATATCACAAGTTAGTTGACCTGGACTCAGGCTACTTGATTCTCACAAGGAGATATTAGTGCCCTAGCGAGTACCACAGAAGGTTGGACGAGAAGCCAATAAGAATATATTCGAAAAAATTGCATTACGTTTACTTAACGTAATATCATACCATTGTCGAAGTATTGACTCCTTTCATTTTGTTTATATTTTTCGGGGATACCCGACGAAAGATGTAAACCAAATTTTTGATCTTTAAGTTACTTACTTAAAAGAAATTTTAGCTAATGGTGATTGAATTTAAACAGTGGGTTGTAATCTGACATATCTTGATACCCCGAAGTGTATTATCTTAGGCTAATAATTCCCAGAGATTGATATGAGATGACACCACTTGAATTTTTTTAATAATACAAAATCTAATATTTCCCTGGAAAATCTTTGTTAAAAAAATGGAGGAAACATTTTTCATACATGTATTTGAATAGGCAGACCTCAATTTATCTTTCGTCCCCTTAAGATCAGCATAAGCAAACCACGTAAGCATTTAAAATCGCTGATGGGATTATCATTGCAAATCACATCTTGGAAGTAGATGTGTAGTATTTAAATGTGATTTTTAAAGAACTTTTAAGTATAACTTTGCCACTCACTCTATTCAAATCAATAATTTCTTCTTAACTTTTGGTACAAGCCTTACATTATATACCTGTATACCTTTCGTTTCATCTTGTTCAACAATTGTTACTTTGTGTGTAATTTAAAAATGGTTATAATCACCATGCCCCCAAAAGAATGTGTCGCGAAATTTGATATATCTAATTTCAAATTAACAAAATCACTATAGAAGTTATGCTAAGGTCATATGAGATATTTAAGTGCATATATTCATTCAGTCGTGACATAAAATATAATTTATTTTGAAGTGAAATATAACTTAAGACTTTGCATTTTCGTAGGTCGATTATTTATCACAGTGTTTGAAGTGTTAACTTGGTGGGAAAAATTGTCTCATGATGTTCTTAAAATAATCATTACACCAACTATGAACATTTATGTAAAATACAAATTAGACTTAACAATATAATAGCAAGAATTAACAAATCTGGATAAAAATAGAAAAAATAATTTTTCTCTGTTTAACAATTAGCAATTTATCACACCACTTTGAAAATCAAGTTAAATTTTGATTCGCATTTCATAAAAATTAGGTCTTGCCCATGACGTTAATTGCTTAAGGTTATAAAAACTACCGAAAGTTACCGTATAATACCCTTGATCCGATATATTTTGTAAAACGTGATTAGCTGGCAGTTGCAAGCGACTGGCTCATCCGATTTTTTCAGCGAGTCAGTTTTTAACTAGCTGAATTGGCTAGCAAAATTGAAAATCAGATGAATAATTTCTTAATTAAATGTATGAACATACTTTATACGCAACAGGCATCATATTCAATTGGTTTTTAATTCATTTGTCAAAAATATTCAATTGGTTTTTAATTCATTTTTCAAAAATATTCAATTCATATTTAAATTAATTAATTAATTGAGTCACAAACGTTAATCAAAATGTATTAGTATTAAATTATCATATAATTATGAAATCTATCATATAATCCAGCTTGAGAGGTCTAAGTGACGATCGTCTTTTATTCAAGACGAGGCCTGTGATAGAAAACGCTGCTTGCAGGCTAGCTAGTTATTCCCGAGGAAGTTCAGCAAGATGAGCATATAAAGGGGTTTTCATATGCATCATCTGCCAGTGCATATGTGAAATACTTGCGAACCTCAATCATATAATCACAGTGTCATGGTTCCACAAGAGACATTTCTGCTAACAGAGTTATTATCATATGGTACTGATGTAGATAATAAATATTATGTTTCTTAAGCAGAAAACAAAGAATGCATTAATCTTGGATCAAATTGGCACATTTTTTTGAAAAACAAGCTCACTTTAAAATTGTTTTATCTCTGGATAATCGTGTGCCCTTTTTAATAGGTGTAATTTCCAATGAATCATTTTCCTCACTAATAACTAGGGTTTGAGAAAAGCAAGAAGAGTTTTCAGTAATTTATCTTTTCATTTGTATGAAGAACTAGACCTATAACTCTTTCTCTTTAGAATAACTATGTTAACTTAACTTGGGTTTATGTTGATAACAAAGTGGCCAATGTTGGCTGACTTAAATCCTTGGTGGCTAACGGCGGCAGCTGAAGGGTCTATCGTAGAATTCTGGACTAGTTGAAAACTTTTAAATTTGTCGAATCATAGGAAATATTAGATCGAAAAATGGGTCATTTTGACTGACTTAAAATTGAACCCTGTTTTTTAATGTTGTTGGTTGAGCCTTGATGTTATAGATCACGTCTCTCATATAGTATTTAATAGTGGTTTAAAAACTGAAAAATGTGATCATAAGCTACTGAAGTGTTTCTGAAGAAGGCAATTAGCCGAAACGTTAACAAACAGGACAATAGTATATTGTATTTGTCTATTTCAGGTCAGGAAAAATATAGAAGTATGACGTCATCCTATTTTCGAGGTTGTGATGGTTGTTTATTGATGTTCAGTGTAAATAGGAAAGAGACCTTTGAACATATCATTACATGGTAAGAAGAAATTAAGTTCGCCATCACGGCTACCAATACAATTACTAAGGTCACATACCCACTGATGGACCGGAATCTAACTTGTTTAATCTTCCTCCTGAGTATGTTCCAGAATGGCGATGAGAGCTTTTGGATAGAAACTAATTTTGCGAATGTTACTTGGTCAAGGGTATGCTGGAAGACCGAATAACCGAGCACTTAGGTTTTTTATTTCCTTCCTGGATAATATGTTCTAAATATTTCAGATACCGTACCATTTAAGTTGTTAGCCTTGCGTCCCTCTCATGAATTTCATCTCTGTGCTAAATCCTTCAAAGATTATGTACTTATATATGTTAATAAAGAATTCAAGACCGTGGAAATGCATGATTGAATTTATGTGGCAACTAAAACTGAAATATTTGAGATAAAAAAAAAGTTTTTCAATTTTATTACAGTAGACATTCGATGGGCGTCTCTGATTCTCTCTACGTTAACTTTTCGTATGGCACAATTCTTGAAACAATTTGTAAATACATATCAAAATTCGAAATTTCATTGATAAACGTTTGTATAACCGTATAATATACTCCGGTCAATAATAACTCCGATTTTGTAATAAACAACAATCACCCTTAAATGTGTTCGTATTGTTAAATTAGTAAATCCATGTACATCCAAACAGGAAAATTGTGGCCTCTCATGGAAGCTAACTTTAAAACGATTTCTTTAACGATGACGCTATTTTACGCCACTAGCAGCTTGATGAATTGACGGTGTAAATTTGGTGAAAACAACATATGTATATATATACATTCATGTAACATTGACCTTTTTAATATCTATCATTTGAAAAAAAATTGAAACCATATTTTGAAATGTTATTTCACTTCAGTTGACCAAAGTTAATAAAATGTTTCTTTCTTACAGGTACGAATCTCTACAAGAATACTGTCCAGCAACAACATTCACAACAGTCCTGATAGGAACTCTGACAGGAACCTTGACAGATGATTCGAATTGCCAAATACCCCAAGAAAGAATACACAAAATGGCCGAACATATAGGAGCACCGTATATAGAAATGGATTTATTGAACCAGGAAAGCATTATTCACGGACTGGAAGAGGTGGTAGATATATTGTCCAGAAAATATACTTTTAAAAGACCTTTATATGATGATATAAAGCAGAAATCTATAAACTTAGAGAAAAGTGAAATCAAACCAAGTAAATCTCTATGTGGATGTTGAATGTAAAAATACGGATTAATTGCCCAACTTCTCACATCCTGCATGATGACTAATGCTCAATATGCATACAATATGACATAATGTGACAAGACCAGCTCTTTCAGACATTGGTAACTCTTGACTCGATTGTGTCTTCCAATATCTGTCTTCATGAGCTTAAAAGAGGTACAAGAAGTTAAAAGCTTTCCTTTTGGTTTCGTTTCTGTTGTGGTAAAACTACTTTTATAAGTTTAGAATTTCACAGTATAATTATTGAGTGTATAATGACATTAATTTAACCCAAATGCATATGATATTGTTATTTATTTATGTAACTATGGCGCAAAATTGACTTTCTGGGCCCAATTTATATGCAAAATGTGGTTATCAGATGTAACAGTTTCGATATCTTCAAACCCAGATCGTAATATGTTCGACATAGTATGCTTTTTTAATTTCGTGCTCGTGTTAAGCATATTATTCTCTTCTTGTGGTTTCATCATTAACCCGAAATTGTGAGTTTCGATTTCATTACAGTTTCGAAATAGCACTTTTTCAGACTAAACAAATCGGTTTCTATTAGTCAGTTGGGCAAATATCTATCTTCATAAGTCTATTACTTTTCATTTCATAGTGGTTGAATTCCATAATTCATTGGATTTTTATACGCCCACATGAAATTGGGGGCGTATATTGTCGTCACCCATGCCCGTCACTCCATCGGTCCGTAAATAATTTAGAAGACACAATTCTTTACAGATTTTGAGGAAACTTTTGTATGATTGTTGAACAAGGATGAACCCTATTGAAAATCAGAAAAATAGTTAGTATGTGAAATTGCCCTTGTTCTTAAAAATGCGATCAATTTTTAGCACGTAAACACTGTAGAAGGCACAATACTTGATGGATTTTGACGAAACTTGGTGTGAGTGTTTGTTATCAACCATGGATGAACCCTATTGAGAATCAGAAGAGTAGAAACATATTTAGCTTGAGTTATTGCCCGTGTTCTTAAAAATGCGTTCAAGTTTTAGCTTGTAAACACTCTAGAAGGCCCAATTCTTGACAGATTTTGATGAAACTTGGTAATATCATTCAGTATCGCCTCAAAAAGTTCAAAAGAAGTGTATGTCTGAAGGTTGAATATTTCATACTGTTACTGTACTGTCAAATATCAAAGCTGCCAGTGGGCGTTTATAATCTTGCCTGGCAAGCTATGTTATTATGATATTATTTTAATCTAGCTGCATGGTGTACATTGTAATTTATTAATTTAATGAGCTTAATTATAAGAGTTTTCTTAATATCATTCAGTCTTCATTAGCCCACATGGTGCAGAAAAGTTTTTAACATCATTATTATGTAATTTCTATAACTTGTTATTTGCACCAGTTACAATATGCTTCCATATCTTAAAACACAAAAAGTTCGTCGACATAGGTTGAATGTGGTAAGAAATGTGGAAGAAATAGTAGACGATTGTTTAAAAATAGTTTTGAACTGCCGTTCCTGACCTTACAAAATACTTTAAAATTATTTAACAAAACTTCTTAAGTTATAGAATTGTATCACCAATCCCTTAGTGTCAAACTTCATGCATTTCTTAGACCAATTAGAATCTGATGCTCGCATTCAGGTTAATATTTTATTTTTCGCTGTATGTGTATTTGCTATGTAGGAGACTTTGTATTTATTGTAAATATATGCAACAAACCTGTTCACATTTGATGTAAATAAAAAACTATTTATAAAATACTAGGCGATGTAAAAGTATACGAGGTGATATGGGTAAGTCATGCACGAATTTGGATTCCCCCGACCACGCTACAGACTGAAAATACACACAAGACTGTCTTCAACTTCAAATTAATACATCTACTCTATGTAAAATTTGGGTTAGTATCGATTGAATTTGTATATTTTGAAATATCTTTACCATGTATTTAATATCAGAATGAAACGTAAGATTTTACAATGTTTACAAAAATTGCTAAATCTGACTACAAAGGGAGATAACAATTCGTGATTTTGTTGAGCCGAGTGCATACTCCCTTTTAAGTTCAACACTTTTGGGGATAATGCCACATTTACAGAATATACTCTTTCATATCCACATACAGACATATTACCATATTTTAAAACCTATAAATACATTAATAAGAGACTTGAAAATTTAGATCCATACCATACATTAGGACTACAGAATATGATGGTGGTCTGGAATCTATAAGGATTTACAATATAGACGAAATATTTATCTCCCTTCAATGCAGTCATTTAGTCGTAAAACAAATATCAAGCTTATTCGTAATGTAATCCATATGCTAATGTATAATCGTATACTTCCCACATATGCATGTCAATTTTAGTCCCGTTTTTTAATTAAAAAAAAATGTCACTCTAAAACTAGTGATAGATGTTGAAATCTTAAATCTACGTATATGTACATTCAAAGCATCCCTAAATTCTTACAAAAATCTGACCCTGCGCAAGTCCATTTCAACCAGTTTTTTCCAAATTTTATCAGATTGTGTAATACAGATTACATATCATTAACTGTTTCGACATGTCAGACATATTAAGGCCCATTTGCAAGAATAAACAAGAATAAACGATCACGTAACAATGAAATAGGTTATAGTTCTCTGATGGCGTTTATTAAAGGTGATTTATAGACAACATAATTCCAATGGAAATCAAACTAACAAAGAGATCCTTTGGTCTTTTTTCATTCTGTAGAGCTGATGCCGAGCTAATCAATAATTATAAACTTGTATTCCTCCACATATATGAAGATTTAATAAGTGTATACAAAAATAGGGTTTATACAAATAAAGAGATTTAGAAAAGAAAAGTGAAGTTCAACTAGAACTGTTTGACATAAGAGGTATTGTATAGAGAGATAATGAAAATTGAATACTAAAATGTAAAATCTTTCAACGTTGTTAGCTAACATAGCTGGGATATATTTTAGACGTCCAACCGTAAACTGGATACTATTCAAACTTTGCAAATTCAATTAGAACATATAACATAAATCGTTATACCTGTTGTAGAATAAAAGTATTTTCTCTTGCATACTAATCGCATTGATCCCGATAATGAATAATGAATTGGTGATGTGAATGATTAACTTCAACTTTCACTTGAATCTCAATTGTGTGTATGTGTATAAAATGGTAAATATGAATAAAAACCTTACGAATGATTAATACTGCATGGATTTCTTCAGCCCGGATGTCGCTATCAAAGGTTTCTTTTTACAAAGTTTTCTTGGTCAATGTTTCTGAAGGGTATTTGACAGTGATAACGGAAGACTTTAGAAACCCATCCCATTTTCTTAAAAACAATGTTGGATTTTGATGGGAATAAAAATTGAGTTTGGGAATGATGCAATTTTGTTCACAAACCCACATGATAAAAACGAGGAGAAAAGCTAAGCTAAAAAAACGAGGAGAAAAGCTAAGCTAAAAAGCACTGCCTAAATACGCTTCAGTCCCTGTTTGATTTTTTAAATATTATCCAATGTTTAACAAAAATTATAGAGTTTTACTGCGTCCCTGCATCCTTTTGTTGATTTTAGAGAGCGTCCTAGTCAGGGTGGCTTCTCCTTGCATTTTTTAATGGTCCGAGGGGGACCATTTCAAACATTATTCAATGCTTTATAATGACTACGGACTTACTGTAATCCATAAGAATTATGTTATCAGTAAGAAATATGTTATTCTATTACTTTGTAGTAATGTTTTTGCATTTCAACACAATCTCTTAAAATGAAATGAATGGAGTTTTACGTTCTACCTTTGTGTACCTGATTGGGATACTGATGATTTCATCTGACGAGGGATCTTTCACGAGTACAACCTGTAGCATAAGGGGCCACGGTTTATTGTCATATATGACAATTAGACGCCTCAGACCTACATATCCGACAGGGAGACATAGAGTTGATCTATCCAATGGTATTACCTTGACCTATGCGTGTATGGAACCGTCAATCTCGCTGAAACATCGCGGCTCCGATACAATCCTCGAAACATTTACTGATTAGATAGATTGAACCTGGTTTCAGCTTGAGCTTTTCAGAAAATGAGGGGATTGAGTATTGAATTGATTTCGATTTGATCCGAGTGTCCATTCTTTTGGGTATACATATAAAAGTGTGCTGATGAGATCTACAGATTTGAAAGGAATGTCTTGTAACAAAGTAAGATCAAATTCTTTCTGTTGACATCTTGAAGAAGTTGAGCTGTAACCTAATTTAGACAGAGTTAATACTTCATCAAGATTATAATCCATAATGTCTGATTGATTCATACTGCCTTGCAATATTATAGATTTCAGTTAGTCCGTGTTTATACTAATATTTACTTTATTTATTCAACGGATTCTGCCTTTTTCTTGTTTTATTATGCTAAAGCAAATAAAAAGATGTGATGAGTGGGGTTTAAAACGGTTTGTCTTCACTTGAAAATCCATGCCTTAAATCAAATATCAGTAAGCCTAATTCGGAAAAACCTCTAATATACTAAAGGAATAATAAAAAAGCACAAATATAAACACTTTTTTAAAAGTGCTAATTCAAAACGCAGAGTACAGTTTTCACGAATATGAGCTAAAAATATTTCGACCTACAAAAAAACGGAATACCACTTTATATATTAGCCAGCAAAAAAGAAAATAGCGCCCCAGCATCTCATTTTGAAGTGTTGTGCATTCCAACAAATCATTTAGGTTAGATATTTTTGATAAAGGAAAACCAATTTAAAGATCTCAGTTTTTTGTTATCTCAAATAGTTAACTTAAAAGTGTTAATGCAAAATACACATTTTGTGCTGTTCCTGTTCTCAGTAATCTATCTACTGCGCAAAGGATTGATGATTGTTTATTGGACGCTGTATTTCAGCTTACATGGTAACCATAATAAAGACTTTTTTCAAAAATATCACCAACAATGTAAATTTTATTGCCATAGGGTTATTTAGAATGCATTTAAAGGACGAAAGTTGAGAAATTATATATTAGAAAACCTTTGGGATATATTGTTTTACTTCAAGGACAATATATAGGCACAGCTTTATGAATAACAGGTTAAAATTTTTCTGAAGACGACGGGGAAACACATCGGAAGGTTGCTTAAAACTTAAACCAGTGATTGTTGTTCCATAAAGCTTTGCCTATATATTGTGCTTGCAATTGCTAAACGCCATTGACAGACTTTACTTCAAAGACGTACATGAAATGCAAAAATCAATAAAAAAAATTATAAACTGTAAAAAAAACGATCAAACAATAGCTTAATTTATAATGATCAAATGAAAAGAAAATAGCTTAAAGTGACAGTAGGCAAAATTTTCATAATCAAAAGCGTCGTAAATAATACCTGAAAATATCTATAAAGTATGCTATTTATATACTTGATTAAACAGAATTTGTTCTAAAAGGGTTGATTAAAAGCCGAGACTAATTGTGCAAATAAGCAATTTGGCCTAATTTTGGTTTTTGGCCTCATAAAGACTCGATATTGATAGTTGAAACCCTCAGAATAAGCAAGTAGGAGACATAATCCTCAACAATTAATTTGCTTAAATCCGTGCGGTAGTTTTCTAACATCTACCCAAAATCTTTACGAGCTTAAAAAGTTTACGTAGTTACAAAATTTACAACTGAATTATTTTAGTTAAACCAAAAAAATAATCCCTTTTTACAACCAACAAGTTTTTTATTTGATTTGTGCATTTGTTGATTATGTTCAAATAGAAAAACATAGCTTTAGTGCGATGAGTTAATTATTAATCCTTAAGCGACATTTAGGGGTAGAGATCACATTAACTAACGGAACATGTAGATTGTTGAAACGTAGTGATGTAATAAAACTAAGGAGTAGTATACCATAAAATTGTGTTCCGTTATTTAATGAGATAATTTTTGTACATCTACAACTATGGTGGCAATGATGCTAAAGGTTTCGAGATGTTGATGAATATTTTGGCCAAAAACTGTGGATGAATCTCATGCGGGAAACATGTGGTTCTTATTCTTTCTTATAGACTAACTCTTGCAGCAATATAGAACAGCAATTAATACCAATTGTTAAAAATAATGAAAGAGCTATTCAGATCAATCTATTTTATCACGTCTTTATATTATTCATACCACCAAGTAGTCAAAGGAGCCTCAAGTGGATGACAAACTCTTAAATAAAGAATTGAGTATATGAGAGAATATCAATTAAATGATTCTAAAATTATCTGGAGAGATATAAGAAGATTTGTTCATAACAAATACATGTAGTTGTAAGCAAAACATGCGCCAATGCCTTTCAGATGCGTTGATAATATCAACATTTCTTGTTTTAACGCCATGTTAGAGAATTACCAACATCAGACTGGCCAACCTAAATGACAGTATGACTGCAGGACAAGAAAACATTGAGGTACTTATTAAGATTGCCCCTGTCTACGGCTCAATCATACAAACTCAGAGCAAGAAGAAAATTGCGCTGGCCACATCTAGAGATGGCCACTAAGAAGGAAACAACAGAACCTGGACCAAACTCTCTCTTTTTCTTTCATTTCAGTGTCTCTGCCTCCTGTGTACAACAATTGTCAACCTTGCTGCTGAGAATGATGGAGAAATGTTGCTGAAGTGTACACAGCATGTTAGAAAAATTGGAAAAGTTATCCAAATGTTGGAGAAATGTTGATAGTGTCAATAAACCTTTAGTTAAATAGTAACATTTTACTTTCAGTCGGTAGCGAGTTGGATTGTAGTCTGTTAGGCGATTAGGTGCCGTGAGTTCGAAAAATTCTGATGCTTGTATCTGTGCTTCCGAAAGATGATGAATTTTTACTACAGCTATAAAGCTGTCATGACCATTCTACGTGATATCGGAAAAGATGTACAGCAGAGAATGCTACAGGTAAAAACACGTAACCAAACATCATTTCATCAACTAATCGAAGAACTATATTTCGTTTAAAATTGCATCAATAGCTTGTGTGTACATGATGAATGTCATTCAATAAAACATTTAAAGGAGAAAGTATACAAAATTGAAAGGTCTTAAAAGAACTAAATATTTGTCAAGCTTTTTTAACAGGCGTGGTGGATAAGGTGTTCGGGGTAAAGGTTTACATTAACATCTAAACTTATTTGACGACATTTGTCAGAAATTGAAATTCCTTTTATTCTAAATTGGACTTATCTCCAACCTCCAGCCTTGACCAATAGATGATCTATAGCTGGTCATTAAAGCTGGTACTTACTGCTTATAACCTTTTGTAAATGGGCCATAACAATACTGTCAGGATGAACACTATCTGGTAAAGCATTGCGACTCAATGACCTACTCTGCAATAACTGGTATGTATGTTCTCCCCTATCCTAACCAATGTGAAGACAAAATGGCCGCACTGATGACTATATACATGTACTGATCATATTTTTGTAAACCGTTTGTATGATGGGGTTTGTACTAATCGTATTTACTTGACTCTTACATTTTCGGAATAAAATAAATTTCGAAAAAAAATAATTATATTAAACTGAATGAAGTATCCACTTGAAAACGTCTGGTTTTAGTTCAAATCAATTCATATAGGTAAAGAACCCTTAAAAACAAATTCTCAATCCGACGAAAAAAGGACATACGTGATTTAAAAAAAAATCTACTTTGAAATGAATAATTGTGATAACTAGATTCTGATAAACAGGAAACACAATGATGTGTTTTATTATTAAACTAGTGAATATAGGATATGAATATCATGAACGTATGTTCTAAACAAACTCCATGGAGATGGAAGCAAGACTTTACCATTAACAGATCAAGTGAGGTCTGTTTTTATTCAAAACATACATACATCGATTTATGAAAAGCCAAAGTTTATAATCGAACACTCATGCAAAAATCCGTTACTTCATAATTGTGCTTGCTTGAACTTTGTGAAATTTGTATTTGTCAATAAATTTTGTACCTCGCATAATTATAAATGGCTGTTTCAATCGATTCTACTGTTTGGATTATGGATTTCTTAAAGCATCTACAGTTAACTTTGAAACATAAACTAATGTGATACTTGACGATAATGCTAGCCCTTTCCATGACTTGTGTCACAAAATATTTTCATATTGTAGTGAAATATGGACATTATATCGGTAAATAATGAATTCAGTTATGTGCTATCTTCTTCTTCATGTATTAAAGAAATATTAATAAATTGCAGAAAAACAAGATCCGTTCGTCGAGTTTTAATTACAAAAATCAATTTAGTGTACAATGCGCGATTCAACAAAACAAATTTGAATTCAATAGTTTTAAGTTTCATAAAACATGAGTTTAAATCCCTGCAACTGTATGAATAAAACTTTGAAATGGATCATGTGAATGGCAAGTCATATTATGGGGCGATACTTTTGTTTAGTTTAATAGGTAAGTGTAACAGACTGAATTAATCATTTCTTTTCTTAGCGTTTTAATGTCAAAAGGAGACAACAATTATCATAGCATACTTTATGTTATATAAATCATATCAAAAGATACAGAGAAGGCTTTGTAGCTTTTAGATGTGAATCGGTGAAAGATTCGAATCTAAGAATCCGCGATGGAATATTAAGATCGTTCGGTTGGGAACATAGCCTAGAATATCAGAAGCTGCTGACGATAAAGATTTCAGTTGGAAGTATATACTGTTCATTTCTTGTGGCGAATAATATATTATAGGGCAAACATTTTATTATAATTTCACCTAAGGGATGAAAACTGTGATTATTTCTAGGGAAATATAACTCTCCAAATACATTTTATATTTTGATAACTATAATTGGCTATATTCTAATAGAGAAAGCCTTGCCAAATTAGTACAATCCAAACTTTATTGTGGAAAATGCACTGGAAGGCGTTTTAAGAATACAGAAAACAATTCAGTTTTTTTTATCATAAAAGAGCATTATTTATATGGTTAGTTTTGGGAGCGCTCAATCCTGTTTGTGAATCACGTTTTTCGGGGAATATCTGCTGTCATAATGGAAAAACGGATGTACAACTAGCCGAAAATCAAAATTTTTTCTGTCGTAGTTTGAGGACAGTTAAAGACGTTAAATCCAGACCTAGGCTTTACCGAGTTTTGGTTGTTAAGGTTGTATAATGGCTTTGGTTGTCAAAACAATATGCAAAAAAAAAGGTATTCATAAAAATATTAAACTAATAAATACAAGTTAAATTAATGAAAAACAAAGTATTTGGGTTTAATCACTGCTAGGTCCGCAGTGAACACATAATGATTGAGTAAAAGCATCTCAAGGGCTTATGAATCAAGAGATATCGCTTAAGTGGTTTTATATGTGTATTCCAGGAGCAAGTTTAAATAGCGTCATAAAACCAAGAGAATTGACCCTAGGAAATGAAAATAGAAACTGGATGAACGCCGAGAAAGCGTGTCAAGAAGATGGCCTTCAACTGTTATCCTCCATAACCAAAGATAACATGGTGGATATTCGCACCTTAATGAATTTGTGGAATGATGATGACATCTTGTAAGTATTGTTTAAGGAATGATTAAATGTACGGGGTTATCGATACCATAAGTTGCCGTAAACGACGGTGTATCAAGTCGAAATTTACTGCACTTCGACATGCGATTGGTGACACCAATTTTATTTTTAGATCATATACCCACAAACTGAATTTATAACTGTAGATTCTAAAATATGTGCGAGGGTAAAGGGATTAATATCTGGGAGTTTATATTCGGAAAATGCTCAAATAATGCGTTTTGGGTTTCGGGGAAGGGATGGTTTGATTCTCCCAAATGCACATGCCTAGGGTGGAAAATACTTTGAGAAATTGGGATAAGGGGTCTGGATTCTGGAACTGGACGACCCACCCATGAAAGAAGCGGTGGCAGGAACTATTGCACAGTTGCAGTGTTGAAATTTTGCAGGCCCCGACACAAAGTTTCGTCAAATTCTGTCAAGAATTGTTTACTTGTGGAGTGTTTATATGCAATTGTGGACTGACGGGCGGACGGACGTTGGTGACGCCAATAAATGTCAGGGTCAACTGTGCAGAGCGTTTCTGTGTACAACCAATCCAATAAAAATAAGATTAAAATTTGGTTTCGTTAATTTTATTTATATATTTTATTTTATTTTTTGCTTGTCTCCTTTGTAATGTAACGAGATTTATACCAAGGTTGCGTCCTTGTAGGTAGGTACATGACAAGTTAAATTTGCCAGTGGATGTTGATATCGCAAATTTGGTAGTTGTTATTAGTCGTAGAAGTTGGTACTTGGATCGGTTCAAATTAGATGATTCTGTGCTTTTGGTTTAGTAGTTGATAATTAGTGAGCTCAGGTCGAATGACATGGTGTGGTGTGAGTTACTCGACCTTCTTCATTCTTCCAAATTCGTTGTGATCATGGTAATTCTTGTTGATCGGTAGTGGAATGGTATTCGTTGGTTTTGTTTGGTAGATTCACGTCCTGGTGAAGTTTCAAGCTATCTTTACCAGACAATCGCGCTTAATTAAGTTATTATTATTATTGTTACACAAAGGGTACACAAAAGAAAATTGTGCTAGGTTGGACTTTATCATTCACGATAATCGACCATATTCTTTGGAATATGTACTACTTTTAACATAGCCAATAAGTCTTTCCGTTTGATATTCCATCAAAACGTATCGAGGGTGTTTAGACATAGGGTTACTTTGGTGATGCCTTGATTATGACGTTATTGGTGGCTGTGAATAGAGGTCTTGCTACATCATACTTTTTTTTTATTCAAATTGCGAATCAAATGCTGAAAAGTGACACCAGTAGCAAATACCTCGATACCTACTATATCTCAAGTAGAATTGTGTTCATTTTTCAGGAAATCGTCTGTATGGGTTGGTTTGACCCGTCATAAAGGTGAACTCGGTTTTAAATGGGACTCATGCTCTGATGTCATACCCAACGATGAGCTACCTTGGTCACTAGCTTTTCCACTGTCATCTCCCGTGGAGAGGTGTGTTATTATTGATAAACACAATTTCAAATTAAAAACGGCTTCTTGTTTTAATCAATATCAATATATCTGTGAAAGACCTAGAGGTAATTGAATATATTTGTTCTCAACAATTTAAGTCCTAATTATTTTTGAAGTGTCCATTGCGATTCAACACCGGCTTTTAAACACGAGGAAAGCTATTTTCTTGTTTCCGGACAAAGATTTAACTCCAACTCTATAGTATATGTTCGAAGGAGGGTTTCATTTGTGGTCCCAATTAATTATAATAATCGCTATGTGGTGGATTGTTTGATGTCGAAGCAATAGGCGTAAACAAATTTATTTGGAGAAATTGGCTGGGCCACAATTTATTAGCATGTCGCAAAGATGGGATACCTATAACCATATGCAGTCCAGAGGTATTGGTAACAAACTTTGACATTTGATTAATGTCTTTATTGGTATAGTATTCTTTTAAACCTTTTTGTAGATAAATGTTGGTTTGATATACATTTACTACGAGAGACTACAGAAGCTAAACTGCACGAAGGGACTTTTAGTAGAAAAGATTGTGAAGATCAGTGCAGAAATTTTCGTCTTGGTAATCAAGAGTGTGTTCTGATAGAAATAAAGGGAGGTGAATGTTATATTGTAAAATCTGATAAGCAGTATATTGATGATACTCCGCATTTTAAGTCTGCAACCAGTGCATACACATTTGTCGAGGTGAAAAGATGCTTAGCACGTGAGTATAAAACTAATCTATTATTTGAAACACACCTGTGTATACTTTTGTTCATATTCTGCTATTTCACGTCTACTAGGATTTTAAGACATTCATAAGACAGTAATGTTTAGAATCCAACAATTAAATGTTATGTGTTGTTACAAATTTAACAATTAAATGTTATCTTCAGAAAGAGCTCGACCAAGTTCATGTTATCAGGAGCTTTATTCCTGTAAACTTAAGATGATTTTAGTGTTGCAATCATCTGATTGATTAAGCACTAAAATTTATTTGGAATTTAGTTTTAATTTCTAGAATAAGGCCACAAGGTAAATTGCAAATCCCAAAATTGTTAGAGGAATAACATCATAGAATTCATTGGAATAGTGCAAGTTATTTGTATTGAAATTGAATTAACTTAATTTCAGGATCCAATAGACATTCAACTATGGATCATACCGCATATTACTCACTTCCACCAAGAGAGCCTTGTCCATCTTCATCATCAACTTCCGTGACCTCATCAGATTTACCCTACAGCAGTCCTGTATCAGAGTCGGTATCAGCGTCTTTAATGGATGTGGCATCATATACCGAAACGAGCAGTGAATATAACCCGGTTATATATTTATCATCGACTGAAATCAACGTTTTGTCCTCAACAGAGATTTCCGTGTTTTTGACGGATGACTTCTACCAAACAGAACTCAAAACAAGCACACATTTTAGTGATTTAAATACTGAAAGTGAATTGACAGTCACATCAAAAATACATTTCGGCAGTATTGATACTGGTATTGAACTGATAATCCAAGCTTCGGACTTTATAACTCTCAGTTGTGATACAACCATCAATGACTATAGTACTGATCCAATTGAAACTTCGCTACTAACAAGTGAAGATGCACATGGAACATGGTCGACTTCGGATACCGACTCGCGCAGCAGTATAATGATACTATCGTCGCTATCACCTTCAATGCCTTTTTCCGCACCATCAACTGACATGGATATGGAAACCGTTCTACCATCTGTAACATCTTCTACTCCATACCAACCAATCTATTCAGTAACAAGTAAGAATTAATTCAGTTTCTTGTCAGCTGACCCACGTTTATATTAATAATGCGTATACTTCATTACCAACGACCTTACTGTGGAATAATTTAGATTATTATCCTCGCCTACAACTCAAAATGAGCCACAAAGTTGTTTTACCCAAACTTCGTTAATATCAAATATATGGCTTCCGCAAGGTTTTTAACCCTAAGCCTTGAAGTTCCATTCTGAGAACTCTGAGAGATACCGGACACATAATTTTATATTGTTTGCATTTTCCCACATTACTTCTAACATTTTTGTTTGTATGCAAGCATCTCAAGTCTGTGCGAGTTCTTTGTTTCAAATATTTGTACAATCTTCTCTTTAAGAAAAGGTTGTTGCTTTTTTAAAACAAACAAACCTTTGTTTTAAATTTGAAATTTTCTGTTATACTGTTTAACCTTTTGTTCTGTTTAATGTTTTGCTTTAAATGCCACTTAGTGGTGCATTACCTGTGATAATGGTTTTAATATTATTATTTCTGTTAATTTTTTTTTGTTGAGTTTTGATTTTAATGTTTTATAGTTTGTGTGGACTTTACATTCAAGAGTTCCTGCACCTCAATACATTTCATTGAGCAGCTATGACTCTAGACACCTGATAGTGATACCACTTTTCATTATGAAATACTTCCTCACTTATGATTGACATACTTCCTCATGTAAAAAGTTCATTAGCTGCTACCAATATTTCTTTAATATGTTGTTACGGATTTCGTCTTACGGTGTGGATCGCCAGTACTTGGTTTATTTATTTTAACATTTGCGACTGCACTTGTTAACCTCACCATTGAGTCCTCAGATGCTATATAGACCCTTTTGTTGCTGATGCTCTTCAACGCATTTCATTTCGGGAAAATATCATAGTGTGGGTCTGCTTTGGTAATCAATACCGGGGAAATGGTTAAAAAGTATCTTTTAACGACTGTTTTCTAAATTATTTTTCAGATCCCAAGTTTAATTCATTATGTCGATGTGTCTGTTTAAATAACGACTCTAGTACTACTGGATTCACTCAAACAAAATTGGCGGAAATTCGGAAAAAGCTTTTTGTTGACACATCAACTTTGTCATCAACCAGGCGGAAGTTGACAAGTGCTGAGGATCACCGTCCTTCCGCCATAATAACTGGTCAGCTTGGACTAGTGGTATTGATTTTGGTGTTCTGTTTCTTTTTGATCCTTGACGCACAGAGATTCATTGTGGCCATTTACGAATTTATGAAGAGGAAAAGCACCAAAACAGTCGTACCATCATAGATAAACATTTCTGTATGTCCAGATGTTAATAGTGAAATATTTTTTATGTAAATATATTATTGATTGTGAGCAGTGCCAGTCTCTTGCAACTAGGATACCAATAAGGACAGGCAGACCCAAGGGGGAGGGGGCGGGGGACCGGACAACTTTCGAAAAATGTGGCAACTCTGTGGTGGCGTCTCATGAAGCTTCGCACATGGTTCCCCGAAGAATATTTTCGTAAAACTGAATATATGTGGTGCACATACTTGGACGAAAACGTAAATAAATCTTATTTTTAAATTTTGTTAAGAATAAAGTGGGGTTACAACTGGGAGTGGAAACCACTGTCTAAGGGAGGGGTAAAATTCTCCCATGTACCCCCACTGGCGCCGCCACAGATTGTGAGGGTATACTTCTTTATTTTTTGCAATAGTAGGAATACGTTTATGAATAGTCAACAATACTTTTATATAATATTCATCTGCCGAACTTCTTATTGCTTCTACACATGATGTTGGAAACCGTTGTTTTTTTATGATATTTGATTTCGGGGAAGGGAGGGTTTGATTCTCCCAAATGTACAGGCCTAGGGTGGAGCAGTCACTTTATTTAGAAATTAGGATTAAGGGTCTTGATATTGGGTTTTCTTCTGTTCTTATTCTGATCTGAAATTAGAAAAAATAACTCGCCCGATGGGCGAGAAGTATAGTATCTGTTATGTACTGACTGTTTTTAGTTTACTATGAACAATATTATCATTTAAGTTCTTATTTTTTGAATATGCAACTATCATTTTCTGCTTATAGACATGGGGGAATTTCTCTTGAAGGCTCTTATAGTGGGCATGAACTATCTTGCTTGCTCGATTGCTGGTTGTATTAAACGGGACAACAAAGGGTGCTATGCCTACATTATGATGAATATTTAGTCCTATAGGTCTTGCTGTATTCAATGTCTCAATCCAATGGGCCTCCCTAGATTGACGGAATTTGGTAGTTTCATCTTCGGGCAAGTCAATTTCTATACGCTCAATTGGGATTAGGGTGAGATCGTCTATTGAATGGTCGTCGAGGTTGAAATGATTAGAAACAGGCTTGTCTTTCTTTAATTTGATGTCTGACCTATGAGCATTAAAGCGAGTTCGTAAATTATTCTTAGTTTCTCCTACATATTGTTTGGGGCATTTCTTGCATGAAATTAAATATATTATATTCGAATGTTCACATGTTAGATGTTCCTG